ACCCCAATATGGTTTAGTCGCGGAGAAAATTCGTGGTTTTAGGTAAATTTTGGCAAAGAAACCGTTTGTGCAAACGCGTAATTGAAGTGTGTCATACACCGTTAGAAAGAGCAGAATTTCCTATAAGATGAATATAGTTCTAAAGTTTTCTCCCCGTCAGATAAGAGAGTTATTGACCCAAGCGTGGTTTAGCCGCAGCAAAAATTCGTGGTTTAGGTAGTTCTTAGTCAGAAAAAAAAGATTGTGCAAACGTGTAATCACGGTGTGTCACACACCGTTGGAAAGAGCAGGAAATTTCCCATAAGCTGAATATAGTTGTAGAGTTTTCTCCCTGTCAAATAGGAAAGTTATTAGTGCAAGAAATATTTGCGTGTTTTCATCGGTAGAGGCTTTTTCAGGTTCGTTTTTCTTACCAACGCTGATAGATATTGGCGGACGAAAACTCGGAATAAGATAGTCCAAGGTCAGCTCTTTCCAAATATGCAAACCATTTGTTGAATTTCCTTCTGATAACGGCTGTACTAGGCCGAGGATTTCGCGTGAATGCTGTCGTCCGAGTAGTAACACAACTTTTCTTTCTTTTTTAAATAACAGGCAATTATTTAATGTTTATTATTATTAAAAATGCGTTTCACGGATGAAAATTTACGAGAGCTTAAAGTTTTGTTTAGCGAATCACTTGGTGACTTAGTAAAAAACGAGACTTTTATGTGCGTTGTAAAAGAACATTTTGTGGCGGAAATTGAGTCACTCAAACAACAAAACGAGGACTTAGAAAAGGAGAACCAGTTATTGAACATAAGATTGATGGTCTCGAGCAATATTCGCGCCATAACAATGTTCGGATATTTGGACTTGACGAGGAAAAATAGGAAAATGTTGAACACAAAGTACTAGCGACCTTAAAGGATAATATGGGGATTTCGGTTCTTGCAGAGCAGATAGATTGCTGTCATCGAGTCGGAGCTCGGAAGAAGAATGGTAAACATCCTCGTCCTGTTATAGTGAAGTATTTGTTTATTATTATTATTATCATTATTACTTTTTTTTTACTTTTTGAAAAGAAATACTCTGTGTTGAGTTTGACTGAAACGTGGCTTAATGATAATGTCAACAATGAACGGCTGTCTATCGACGGTTATACACTTATTAGACGGGATAGGGTATCGCGGGGGGAGGGGTAGGAATGTACATAAGTAAAAATTTAAAATGTTGCGTTCTTTCCTCTGGCAATAGTGTGGAGCAGCTTTGGATTTCAATTAATAGTGGAACAACTGATTTAGTTATAGGCGTTGCGTATAGGCCACCTAATTGTGATTTTAACTTCTTTGTTTCGGAATTAGAGATTGATTTAAGTGCGATATGCTCTGAGCATGAAATCGTTACTGCTGTGGGCGACTTTAATGTTGACCTTATGGCTTGTGGTGGTTCCCGGCCTGCACTACTGCTTGATTTAATGAATTCTTTTGGTCTAACTCAAATAATTCAAACGGCCTCTCGCGTTACAGCTTCCTCTTCAACTTTAATTGATTTAATTTTTATATCTGATCTTAATTTGGTTCTTGATAGTGGCGTTAGTTATTTTAATGCATCTGACCATGACTTGACGTATTGTTTACTAGATGTAAAACGTAAAGAGTCTTGTTCCTATTTCAACTACCTTTTTTTAATATATTTGATATAGTGGACATAAATGATAAGGCGGATTATCTTAATACTCTATTAATTGAGTTGATGGATCGGCATGTGCCTATGATTACCGCCCGTTTCACTAAACCGCCGGCCCCATGGTTCACTTACACAATTCGAAAAATGCAGCGTCTCAGAGATTCTGCATATGGGTCTTTTAAGAAAAGTAATAGTCAAGCGACATGGGAATATTACAAGTCCTTGCGTAATTTAACAAATCAAGCGATTCGTAGGGAAAAGCGTGCATATTTTGAGTATACTCTTGGGAAATGTGCTTATCATGCTCCAGAAATGTGGAACTTTAAGGCATGTAAATGTAGCTCTATGACTTTGAATTGTATGATTTTTACATTTCCAATCCAGTTAATAACAATTCGTTCAAGTTCCGTGAGGTTAGTAAAGACTATGTGTTACAGATTATTTCATCTCTTCGAAAAAACTGTGCGGGCGTTGATGGTCTAAACATTTCATTTGTTCAATTGTGCTCCCCGCATATAGTACCATATCTTGCTCATTTAATAAATGCTTGTCTTGCAGAAAGTGTCTTCCCTGCATGCTGGAAACGATCTTTGGTTAAACCATTACCAAAAAAGTCAAATGTTACAGAGTTTGGTCACTTAAGACCAATAAGTATTCTGCCTGTTTTGGGAAAGTTGGCTGAAAGAATTATTGAAGCGCAGCTGAAGGAATATGTAAATATTTGCAATATTCTGTCCAGCGTACAATCGGGTTTCAGGAAGGGTCATGGATGTGCGACAGCACTGCTCAGCATAGTCGACGATGTGTTGTGGGCATCTGATAAGGGTAAAATCACCTTGATACTCTCAATCATTCAATAATGTTTGCGATTTTGCAACACATTGGTTTAAGTCCTTCAGTTTCGACTTTCATGCTTAGCTATGTCCGCGATCGGGTGCAATGTGTTGAGGTTGATGGAGTTAGATCTACTTTTTCGGATCGCTTCTAGGACCCCTTCTATACTCTATTTATGTGTCTTCTTCCACAAACATTTTGTTTCAGTCTAATTGTTACTTTTATGCTGATGACACGCAGCTATACATCTCATTTTTTCCCCACGAGGTAGACACTGCCTGCAGTAGGTTGAATGATGACCTTGAACAGTTAAGAGTTTTGTCCCGTAAACATTCTTTATGTTGAATGCTGCGAAAACCGAATTGTCTGATGTGCATACATTGAACTTAAGGTTTCAGGGCAATTTGACTCCTCCACAACACAAACATGACTTTTTTAAAAAGACGTTTAGTTATCAAATCGCTCACATATACAATGGCGTTCCTGTTCATGTCAAGACCAGTATGTCTATTCAGATCGTTAAGCGAAGATTGAAGGCTTCCACCATGGCGGGTCAGTCGAGTGGCTTAGGAGCCTGATAATAAATTCAATGACAGTTAAGTTTGTTATTACTTTGGCAATTTTGTTTTAGTGTAATTTAATTTAGTTTGGTTGTTTATTATACAGGGTGATTCACATAAGAACCGACACAGAGCAGGAACATGTAGAGGACCATACATTAAGATGATGTAACATAACTTACCTCTATACTAAGTTGTACACCTGAGGAGTTATAGGAATTCAAAGGCCTATCAAGGCCAAATCTCTTTGCATTTATTTCTTTTGTTGCTGTATAAATATTGTGGCGCAGTTCGGCAAGATTTTCAAGCGGTTTTTAATACACTGTTTCTTTTATGCAATCCTAATAAGAAAATCAAGGGGATTTAGACCCAGAGAATGAGGAGGGCACGTAATCGAACCACGACGCCCAATCCATCTTTCTGGGTATTCTGTATGCAATCCCGTACAAGACAAGCATAATGAGGTGGGCAACCATCTTGTTGAAACCACATTTCTCTATAGATATTGAGTGGCACATCTTCTAACAAAGTTGTTAAATCATTTTGGAGCAAATACAAATGACATACGAAAGTATGAATTTTTTAAATAATGCGTTTTTGGCACAAAAACAGGCAATAATATTTTTTAGGAAAAGAAAAATGGTAAGTGTTATACCATTTTGGAATCTTGACTAAACAGGCCATCTTTTAAAATAACTTGCCAAGGGTGTTGTACTAGTCCTTTGTTTAGAAATCGTGTGTCAAACTTAATAGACATAAATTCTTTCAACCTTAACTCAATCAAACTGATACTTTTTCTTGCAAAACTAACGACTTTTGTTGTTCGATTTGTGACTGCTATAGTAGCATGGTTCATGAGGTATACATTATTAAAAAAAATCACTATTAAATTGCGAACATTTCTGACCGTAGTACCTAAAGATATGATGTACGGGAATGATTTTTAACATTTTCAAAAATATGTCTATAACCACTTAACTAAGAGACATAGAATTTTTTTCTTATTTTTACCAGAACCGGTATGGGTTGGCTTCTCACCCGGTGTCCGCTTAACGTTGAGTTTCGGGACCCTGTATATATATATTTTTTTTATTGTTTGTTTTTTGTTCCAGTTTTTGTTTTCTTTTATAATGGGGCTGGGTGGTAGAACAAATACCAGTTGTGTGACAATTTGAACCCAGCACCTTTTTTCTGCCATACATTTATTTTGTTTGAATATGTTATTATTATTATTATTAACTTTAGTAATTTTGAGGTAATTTGATTGCAGTGCGACGTTTCTTATTTTTTTTTGCTCTCATTATCAACTTATCGGCGGACGAAAACTCGGTTTAGGATAGAGAAAAGCCCAAGCTTTCCAACCGTGTGTTTAGTTTTTCGCTATCTTTCTAGATAACGAAGATATAAGCCCGAGAAATAGGTGGAAATAGTTTGTTCCTGGGCGGTTTGTTGGTATCGTCTCGCCGGTATTTTATTTAGATATTTTATTTTACTATTTTCTAAATTTCAACTATACCACCCAATTGTGATCTGCACTTGAGTTAGATTCGAAAAAATACGGTAATTACAATTACAAAAATTTAAAGAAGTTTACATCACAATCTTTTAGATATCTTTTATAAATAACAAAAAAAATTATTTATTTTTAGAAGTTGAAAAATTAGTATGTATAAGAATTTTAATCTTATAAGCAGGCAACCAAAATAACGTAAAGTTCAATAAAAATGTATTAACAAATATTTTATTTGAACCACATACACTATTTTTTTAAATCCACTTGCACAGTGTACGCCTCCATAAATAAGTTATTAGGTAAGTGAGTTTAAATTAAAGCTATTCAAATTCGAAAACCGCAATCAAAATCTATTAGCCAAATTATTCCTATCACAATACACATGTAGTATGTATTATACAAGTATTTTCAAGGATACTTCACCAATTGAATCAGCTGAATGACACGTGTACATTATACAGATTATTATGTCTCATAATAGTATTTAATTTAGATAATATTAAAATTCATTTAACAAAGGCAAAATTGTTAGTCGCAATTTAAATTGCTGATGCTCTACATATTAAAAAAATCGCTTTAATCAGCCTTAATAATTTGTAAGTAAACTAATCAATGTCAGAATATGTTCTTTTTGTATCAGGTTATGGCTCGTTTTCAATTTAATCTTAAAAAGATTAATCGCAAATAAATTATAATTGAAAAGTTTATATTAAAAACGTTGTACCAAAAAAAAAACTCAGTTTCATTCAAAATTTAACCCTAAATGTTTTAGAGTTGTAGTAGGGCGTTGGAAGGTCACTTTGGGGCGTTAATCAATGGACATTATCTTGTAAGCACTCATAACCGTTTCGTAACATATAATTTAAATAAACGTACCTTTTTGTTCGTTCCATCACCGTCCATCCTCGATTTTCGTACCGGCCTTTCAAACTTATGTTGATTTTTTACAGGAGAGGTCAAACAGTACATTAAAAACGAATACGCATGCGCCACAGCCAGAATCCCGACAGGAACATGTGCGATTCTACGGCGTTGCCGTTTTTCATCAATGGTGAAGTAATTAAAGGATTTGGCAGAGGATCGAAAGAACTTGGAATTCCTACTGCAAATTTTCCCCTTGAGGTCGTCAATAAGTTACCAGATAGCATTACCACGGGCATTTATTATGGGTGGGCGCAAGTGGACGATTCATCAGTTTATAAAATGGTAATGAGTGTTGGTTGGAATCCTTACTATAAAAATAAAGAAAAATCTATGGAAACTCATATTATACACAAATTTGAGACGGATTTTTATGGGAAAAACCTTAAAGTTGCTTTAGTTGGGTACATTAGACCTGAATTAAATTTTGCCTCAATGGATGATTTAATTAATACCATTCATAACGATATTAAACAAGCTGAAATTCAATTAGAAAAACCAGAACAGGCTGAAATTGCTAAAAATGATTTTTTTAAACCAAATTGTTGATTAGAGTAATTGTTTAATAGTGTTAATGTTTAGAAAACATAATTAGAGAATAATTAAGAAAATAGTTGTTTGAAGCAAAACAACCATAAAAAAGAATCAATATTTTGTACTTACGTGGTTACACAAATATAACGGCTCACATTAAATTCCTTTATAACCAAATTATTTTTGTTGTTACCCCAATCCTTATTTATTATAAATCCTGAATAATAAAACCAATTTAGTTTAGTTAGAAACGTCAAAATTTAAACTATAACATGAAGTTAGCACATTAAACATAACCTTAAATTTCTATTCAGTTTTATTCCCATATCATCGAGATTTAATTATTAATTAAAATATTAATCATATTTAATAGTTATTAATAATTTAAAAATATATCAAAAAATTAAGTGTGTTTTTATTAATTTGAAACTAAAGTGATTTTCTTACCAACTTTAAATTTGACAGTTAGCGCCATCACTAAATTTACATAACCTCACATTTTCGGACTAATTATACCGCTTTTTATTCTATCATAGTAAATTGAGTGCAACATAGAGGATAGAAATGATCTTTAATTATGGATAGAACGCCGAAAAGATATTCAAAGCTTTCTCTTAAAAATAAGGAATGTATCAACACCAAATCTGGTAAGTTATTGATTTTTTTTTAATAACCACAATAATAATGTTATTGCAATTTATGTCATCAGCTACAACTTCTTCAAGTACCCCAATACAACAAAAAACTTCATCATTGTATGATGAATACAGTCCTGTTTTTATTCCATGCACTCAAGAAGCATTGGACGAATTAGATGTGGTGTGGGATTGGAATTCGCCAAAATCTCAAGTATTCCCTAAAAGACAGAAACCAAAACGCTTACAAGCACATTCCCCAATACCCATAGTAAAAAAATACTCACATAATCAACCTGTTGTAAATGAAAACTTAAAGAACCAGTTGGAAAAATTAAAAAATCAATTAGAAACGGAGCTAAAACCTTCATCATCTAAATCAACAGCTAAAATTCCTGTGTCAAAAAATAATACCAAAGATGTTTTGCCTAACACATCAACTTTAGACATAGAAAATACTTTTTTAATTAAAGATGAATTGAAAGAGTTAGAAGATCTTTTTAATGATGACTCAATGGAGCAAGAACTTATATTGCAATCTCAAAAGTTTGAAAGTTTAATTAATTTACAATTAGATGATAGTGGTAATAATAAAACTCCTTTTGGTGTTGAATCGAAGCTGGAATTTCGTAAATTTAAAAGTGAGGATCGTTTAAACACAAGTGATAATAGAAAGGGATTAAGAATAAAAAGTAACTCAAGCGGAGATTTGTACGATTCACCACTACAAAAATCGTCAGTGAGCGTAAAATTAGAAACAAAGTTTGAAGCGGCGTTTGATGATTCCTTTGATATGGCCATGCAAACGTTTAGAGATTCAGATTTGAAATTAAATAATTCTAGAAATAATTCCTTAAGTCTCAGAAGTAAAAGTAATGTTAGTTTATCAATGAGTTTTGAGGAAAATATTAGTGTGTATGATATGCAAGAAATAGAACGAAAGAGGCAACAGGCTTTAGCTAAATTAAGGTCGAAAAAATTACAATATGGTTTGTATTTTTTTTTTTAATTACCATTAACATGCAAAAATGTATTCTAATAATGGTATATTGAAAAATATTTGGTAATTGGGTCCCAAATAAGATTAATATTATTGTCACAATACATATTATTGCATGTTGATTTTTTTTTCTATATTATGCATAGCACAATTATTGTATAACACCTAGTAAATACATACTAATTAGTTACTTATTTTTAACACCAAATTAAACTAGATAATGTTTTGCAGCTTTTCCCAGTGGTCCAGTCTGCTTTACATATAATTGATAAATATTGTCATATTTTTACCATTTTAAGACCAAAACACAAAAACTCGCACAGTGTGATACGCGGAACACACGTTTAGGGTATTATTGTTTTTGTTATAATTTCGCACTATTGCTCGCGATTGAGACGACTAGGGCACTAGGTCACTAAATCGAACGGCTTCATCCTCTGAAGGCGACGCAAGACATTCTCGTTGTCGAGAAGCAACTCAATGTTGGCATGATCATGTTTAGATGTGAATGATCCAATTTCTGATGACACCAATGCTACTTTCAAGTCGCGATGGAGGTCGGTGTTTCTTATACCTATACCAGGGTGCATTCACTATGCACCTTAGTACTTTGTTCTGGAATCTTTAAATCAGACTTGCATTTGTCTTGCAGGTACAACCCCACAGTTGGATTCCATATGTCCACTTTGGTTTTAATACTTGCTTGTATATTAGCAACTTGTTACTTAGTTATAGCGTTGATTTTCTGCCAATAAGCCAGTATAGGTGTCTAAATTTGATATCAAGTTCCTCACGTTTTTTTTTTAACTTGCGCTTTCCATTTGAGTTTGACATCCAGCGTCATACCAAGATATTTTGAGGATTGCATTGCTATTTACATGTACAGGATGTCCCAATTTCGATGTCCGCATAGGCTATCTCCGAAACTAAAAGAGATAGAAAAAAAGTAGCTTCCTTCTCATGATCTCGTTTTTCGAGAAAATGCTAATGCCGAAAACTCCGAACAGCTATCGTCTTTTGTTTTCGCCCTATCGGCAAAAAGTGAAAATTTTGCGAAAACGACAATCGCGAATATCTCACTTATTATCAAAGATGGAGTATTATAAATAAAACATTATATGGGCAACTTTTTACGAAGAATTCAGTGGCGTAGGTAGAATTTTTTTCCCATCTTTTATTTTCGAGATTT